AGTCGTCATGATGGGTGGAATCGTAACCGATTACCTGTGCCATTCTCATACGAATGGGCACATAGAGTCAAGGACGGGAATGGATTAGGGTAGCGGAGATCTGACAGTCTCCCCTACTCCGTCCAGGTCAACTAAATATGATATGACCTCTATAATACTAATAGAAGCTTATCATGAGGATCGACCTGGGACCAACATCCACTGGATAAACAGGCAGCTAGGTAAGATTCATGTCAGTTGCATGTAAATAATGCTAAATCTGAATTGAGGAATCCCTGTATATAAGCCATGCTGAGACAAATACAATCATAATTGAGCGGCTAAATCGCAAAGATAGATGACAAGCGACTCTCCCACAGTGACGTCGGTGCGGGTACTAACATATGACAGTTCGACTGTCGTTTTTTACGGGGTTCACCGCGTACGCTACACTGGGGTGGTGCAGGGACGGTGACTACCGATGGATCATAATGAAATTAGACTTGCAAAGCATTTGTCTCATTCTTTGTTTCATTTCCCCACCTGGGAACGGTGTCAAGACAGTCAAGACAAAGAGGTCCTAGAATGAACAGTATCCATGTTATGCTGAGACAAATAAAACTAAGATTGAGCGGCAAGATCGCGAAGGTGGAAGGCGAACGACTGTCCAAGCGACTTTTCTACGATGTTGTTGCTGCGGGTGCTCACATACGACAGTTCGATCGTCGTTTTCGACAAGGTTCACCGTGTGTTCCACGGTGTGGTGGTGCAGGATTGGTGACTTCTGTTGAATTCAAGTGAAAGTAGACGTTCGATGCATCTATCTCACTCTCCTATCTGGGCATAGTCCCACCTAGTATAAACCCAAAATACGTCCGACACACCAGGATGCTGGCATTCGGATGACCAATTATTTAGCCTCCTGAAAAAAAACTCACTCGCTAAGTGATATGCATTTTTTCTACAAAATTTCGATTCGCTTACAAATTCAAATATATTATATGGTAACTATGTGCAAAATAGTTTTTTTGTGCCCGTTTGGTAACAAATGACATCTTCATCAGATATTACACTTAAATGAAGGGTACCTTGTGGTTTCAAAAACGTTTTTAATTGTGAAATTTTTAAGACTGTACGATGTCCATTCAGATGGCATCAAGGCTGGTCGTTTATGTATGCCTCCATGAAGTTTGGTCAACATCCATTGCAAAATTGTGAGACTACTATACGTTATTCTCTTAAGGACATTTTGTGATGCAGTCAACCTGCAATATGGACCCGGCGGAAACAGCCCAGCCTAATGCCGTCACAAATTAAAGTACAAGTAGAGACTTTGCTTCAAGTACATTACTGTCTGAAATACTTCTTCGTCGGGGAAAATAAATTTAGAGGTTTCGGCCGTCATTCCTGAAATGCAGTGCAACTATGGAATACTAGTGAAGAAGGGGAATAGAGCAAGGAGCAGAGCACTTACCTTCCAGAAGTTGATTATCACGGAATGATTGGCGTTGTATTCACCCTTATAGAGAGTATTTGCTTTCCAGTCTTGCACACTGATGTCCTGAAGGCCGCACATTAACAGCTCCAGCTCGTTGGCATCAAAAAGCTGCAGGGTCTCCAGGGGTATAAGATCATTGAAGCCCTCCAGGAAGGCGCACATCTGATGCTCCACCCGGGACACGAAACGCCAATTTATTATTTTTCTAGACAGGAGAAGGAAGATGAGGTCGCAAAGGGGAAGGGATCGGTGAGGGAATTGGGGCAAGCAAATAGTGAAGAGGGGAGGAGCTCATCATCACGGCAGAGCAAAATGAAACGTGTTATGAAATTGCTACAAGCCTCGAGGGTCATCTGTCAAACAACCAGTTTCGATCGAATCAGCATGAGGGCGAATAGAAATGTAGTTAATTATTATTCCAACGTATTCTATGCCGAAAAATAAGACACGCGTATTTACAAGGTTTGACTGCAATCGGATAGTGTCCTTGAGGGGTTAACATCTCGACTGGCCTTATGACTCATCCGATTGGTTGGGTAGAGCACTAATCCTCCCGGCAGCTTACGCGATATCACTCCGCGCAGATTGATAGTCCGGAGTGGGAACGAGTCCTCAGGGCGCCTCCTCTTAGCAAAAGCACTTTCGCTGTCCTGCCAATTAGTTACATAGGAGGTCGGTAGTTCCAGGTGATGTTTACTAAGTTCCCTCACAATGAAAAGAGAGTGAGCTCATGGATTGACTGTAGAGGATCCGCTTCAATAGACAGTTGAGCAATGAGCTCTATAGAAGCTCAGACTTCAGCGAACCGCTTCTAGGTAGGTTGAAAAACATACACAACTTTCGCGAAGTCAATGTAACCTAACTTGAAAAAAAATGGCTAACTGTGAGGTACTGTTTTTCCGTCGGCCAACACTGGTGTTGGTTCACACGACTGTTTCTTTCTAGGAAAGCATCCGATTTAGAGTAAAATTTTAGACCTTCTAAGAAGGGCAGTGGAACATTAATTGTCTTCAATATCAAATCAACTAACAAAGCCCTTAGCTCGTAAATTATACTACGAATTATAAAATGATTGCACGTTAAGTACGCTCAACACTTCATGAGAATTATTATGCCCAGTATATTGAAGGGAGTTTTCTGCACAGCATAACATTTCGAGTACATTCGGCCGATCTTTCTGTCGCATATGGATACGACGCGACATACATTCTGTGCGCGTTTTCAAAATGTCCTTCACTCATATATCAAGTTTAATCAGGATAATAAAACCAATAAACTTTGCATTTAATACCGTCTGACCTGTCTCTTTTTACTAGGTTTGATGGTCGGTCTAAGGCGATGATACTCGTTAACGAACGCCCACCGATCACATTATTAACTCACTCGTCGCATTCCGTCTTGGGGCTCACTCTTGAACCCTGTCAACGGCCGCACAGCGGCTAGTAGTGTAGGTAGATAAACATTGAGCGTTCATCAACTAATTTCAATATTCCCCATCTAAACTTACAAGACGATGAGCCCGTGACTTAATGGTCAGAGAGCGCTGGACTTCTGATCAACAGATTGTGGGTTCGAGCCTAGGACGGTGCATCACCTGGGATTGAGTATGACCGGCTACTTAGCCAGAAATCGCCATTTCAGTCCCCCGCTTGCCCTTGTCGGCGGTGTTCATCTACCTAAGACGATGATTTCGATTCTTCCTGTTTAATATCACAAGCTTTTTTTACCTGGGTGTTTTGTCCATTAGCGGCCACGCGCAAACTGCAAACATGAATCCCGCAATTCCTATTTCCACTGTCTCCCCTCTTGTTGTGCCTTATCCTGTCCTCTTCGACCAAGGCCTACAACGGCAGTAAAGTCCCTGAATCACAGGGAGGTGAATTCGTGTAATTCTGTCACTGCCGCTGCGTTACCAAAAGCGAGTTCAAAGGCGTTTGCCTATCTCTTTCCTAATAAAACTGAACTGAACTGAAGACCTCAATTCCCACGAAATGAGTTCTTTGTACCGTATCAAGCCGTACTTTGTGTGCCACTCCGTCTGCGGTATCACGGTGAGTTTTATGTTCACTTCAGGTTATCTGTCCACCATACAGAAAGGCGCCTGGTATGCAGACTTCGAGTTGCAACGTCGATTCCAACATCAGTAAGCCGGCAAAAGCCAGAGGGAGGGGAATTGAACGACTGCCCCTTACCTCCCTTCATCTCACCGTTTTTTTATGATTCCATCTACCTACTAATACTTTCGAACACAAAACAATCAGTTTTGTATAAAATAGTCTTAGGATGGTCCCTTCTGGTGAACGATTAGAATTCAAACATGAGTCACCGGTGAGTCGGAACGACTGTGTCAGAAGAGGAGGAGGGACAAAAGGTGGTGCTAGCGGCGGTGCCGCAGCAACAAGTCGACTCACTCTATGTACTCCCGTTTGTTGGCGTTCGTGACCGGGAGGTTCCGTCCATTCTCCACGAGGTCCACTTCCACAGTCTGACCAAAGTGTTCCTCGTCCACGGAGAAGGTAAGGGCCAGGTCGCGGGGGTCTGACTCAAGGATGTACTTCAGACTGCGATAGTACTCCGAGTCCACTGCCTCCATGTCTTTCAGTGTGATTTTCTTGCCCAACATCATCTTGTAGAAGGGTCGGATGAAGAAACCGTCCACCAGTTTGCCATGGTACACTGCCATGCCACAGACTCGACCAATGAACTTGAAGTAACGCAGATGATCATCATTGGCCAAACCGGAGAGCGGATTTATTTGCAGGGTGTAGTTATCACTGAAAGACAGCAGTACGAATGGAGACAATGGCAGTAAGGTTAGTTGTGTGGCAGGACGCGGCACATGGCAAGTCTTAGTAGTGGAAAACTAATATTCATGGGTAAAAAGCGTGCTCCCTACTACGAAATGAGTAGGTAGTTCTGCAAAGTTAAAAATGGGTATGTTGTTACCTATAAGAGATGGCTACCGAAAGTTGCTTTTCCCTAACAGTTGCATGACTTAGAGAAAGAAGGCAAAGTCCAGGAACAACCACCTCTTTCTACCAAACAGAGGAACAAGATGTCGGACGCACTATGAAGCCCCTTTGCACTCATGTGTGCTGGTGGAGGATTGGCCATTACCTGCGCGACAATCCCCTCATGGAAACATCACAAATATTCGATCGGCCATTGAATGAGCCGCAGACATAAATGAGAGCATCACATTTGATCCATACGTAACAGAAATATATTCAAGTTAGGCTGCAAGATAATCAATGTTAGAAACTTACGTAAGTAATTTGTTCGAAACGAAAACAAATTCTAGAGTGTCAGTTAACAGATAGGGAAGGTGCTGCAGATTTTACTACAGTCGTGTGCCAATACGAACTGGACAAATAGGTAACATGTTACCGTCCACGCCAGAGCAGGATTGACGTAGGTTAAAAAACGGAGAGGACCATCGTAGTCGTGAAAAGCAGCCCAGGTCTTATTCTACCATCTACCGGAGGCAAGCTAACTAATGGGCAAAGCATTTAAAGTTGTCATCAGATATGAAACAAAATCAGTCCTACTACAAGGCAACCACTTGAAGTTGGACGGACGCGATTGTAGACAAAGGAGCGTTAAAGCAGGCCAAATTGCGATAGGCTACATACACGTCCAAATCCGTGAAGGATTATAGAAGAACAAGGCTGAGGGTGAAGTTGAGTTCGTTAAAAAAGACATACTGTGCTTCCTAGGACACGACACCAGCATTTAAGGCGGAGACGGCATACGGATAGACTTACGCTGCAGAGTACTCAAAGAGACCGTAGTAAGGATTGAACATTTGGCGTGAAAGAAGGAAGAACCACTCGCGCTGGACACCGCCGTAGTCGAGGCCCTTTTCACCAAGGAATTCAATCCAGAGGCTGACAAAGAAAGAAACAAAGACATTAGACCTGCTAAATGTAGGTGATCGTAAATAACTCAGGGTTAAGTGGTTGCCAGACTGTCGCAGTAAAGACCACATTATCGTCCACACTGACCTAGCTTGATCTTTGATGTAGCTATGGATCGCACGCGATATGCTACCACAAATACCCGCGGTTGTTTGGAAACAATTCGACCAGTACTCTGTTTAATATATTTTAGTTTATTTGGTAAGGATAATAGGCAGTACCTCTGAAAACCAGCTCATTTTAATTCAGCTGTACACGCGCGTGCATACTGGCAATATTAAAATCATACTCACGTGCTTTGAGTAGCATTGGTTTTGAAATATTAACTGTCTCGGGTTCATAAGATATTTAGCCCCGAGTTAGACGGCTGGGGGAAAACAAGGGGCACATATCATTATCCAAGAGTTTCTTCAACAACTGCGGAGACGCCGACTTCACGAGTAATAAGGAAGCAATTTTGAATGCTGAGCTATGCGACATTCAGTGGGGAGTGAAAATCCAAACGTTCTCGATCCAGTCACGTGAAGGTGATACGGCCAGTAAGGAGCAGCAACTTCGTTTCGAATGAAACCGCCTGTAATCGGCGCTATCACACTGTGATGCAAATCCAGGTTATCAAATATGTAGGGCTGAAGTTCCCGTGCGGGCTGTTAATCAACCGGCACACCAGTTCAGTGCTGCTACCTCAAATCCAATCATGCGGTCATAAACAAGTCCCCTAAAACGCAGTCCGGCAATACACAGAGATGGGAAGCAGAGGAAGTTGAGTGTGCAGAGACACTATGACTTACAAAAATGGGGTCAGTTGGACCCGGTGTGCAATTAAGCAGTGATAAGGCACGGGTTAAACTAAACTAAACGTAACGCACCTAACAGAAGAAGTTAAAGCATAGAAGGGAAGAGAGGAGAGAGGGAAACAAGGAGCTTCCTACCGATGCATAAGAACTTCGGGTTTCTTTATGGAGTAGATGAGGCGGAAGGAGTCCTCAAAAATGCCCTGGCGAGTAACCCGAATCTCAAACTTGGCCTGTACATCTCGAGGTGCCCGTAGACGAGATCGGAAGTATTCGTACTTCTGTCGGTAATTGCGGGAATAGGGAACGGCGGGCCCACCTAATCGTTCCAATCGTGGGTCTTCCCACTGGGTCGTCCTCGCATCTGACATGACGACAGAAAGAGAATGGGAAAGAGAGAAGTTTTAAACATTGGAAGACATCCTCACGATAAAAACACATGTAGATGACATGGTGCTACGCACAGTCACCCATAAGACCTGACAATCTTCCAACGAGTTAAAACATAACGCACTACCTAAAGCGACAGTTACTGGCAGAGACTAGGGTTATGAGAGGGAGAACTCGATTTGTAGTAGAGACTGTTAATGGGCGCCGGGGTTAGCCTGGGAAATTTATTTTATTCAGAGGGTTTGGGTTTCGTCGGGGTCACCAATTATCAGAGTCGGACTGACTAAAATATGCGTACAAGAGCACATTTAGACGGTCACGACCGTTTGTGCCCTTATTTGAGCACGCCCTCCTTCGACTACTTGAATAAAAGGCACTTAAACTTTCCTTTCACAAAACTACTTAATGATCTGACACGACAGCCACTCTCTCTGGCATGACACAATTCGTCAGTAAACTTTATGGCCGTGCCAACGCCCACCGCTACGGCTGTTAGTGGTGTCTTCTTCTGCCAACCACAACTGTGAAGCTCTGAGTACACTTGTAGTGGTCTAGGCAGTGTTTAGACTCGGAGCACTACAATCCTCTGGCCGAATCCCAGGTTGTTGGTAAAAGGTAGTCCACAGAATGAGAGCTTTATTGGGCACAGAACCCTGACCTGCTATCGTAGGCAGCAGAGGCCGCTTGCGAAACCAGGACTGATGTATTATATATTCGGGACAACGGTATAACTCGACGGCACAGAGTTTCTAATAGGTCAGGATTTCTAAGGCAGTGAAATGTCCTATTAATGATGCTTGTAAAGTAAGCAACATGGTTCACATCGACTGCTAAATTTTATGAATCCCAACTGGTACCTTTTTACTAGTATACAGAAACGTACGATGTTCCATGCATCGAAAGTATACAGCATGTAGACTGGAAATCTTAAATGTAAAAATGCTTTTAAAACCCGATCATGCCATTTATTTAAATGAAGAATTTAAACAGGAATTTGCTGCCAAATAACTACAACTAAGAATATTTTCATTTGTTTTCTAATAAGTAAAGTTGATATTCGAAAATCAGTAGAAGAATGCCATAGCATTTTAAGAGTGTGGTTTATGCAGGCGGTCAGAAAGAATTTAGTTCACAATTTGGCATACTAGTGATAGATAAGGATCTGGCTGTCTGCTTATTAATATTACAACCCTAATTGAGTCCTCTTTTCCAATCAAGAATAAGTTACAGACCTTTGAGTAGCATTGCAAGAGACAGGTAATCTGTTATAGGTTAGTTTTCGGTCACAAAAGCCTGCTGAGCTAAATAGTGCGTGTCCAATGAAATACCGAACTACTGCAGTCATTTCCACGACCAACTCATATCAGTGAATTTTTAAACCTAAACTCTCAAAAACTTCTAAAAATGAGATTCTGGTACCATCGCATGGACCTACCGCATTGTAAGAGATAAACAGGTTAAAATGGCCCACAAACGTACTGTGATTAATGTAGAAAATGCGACCGTTTGTGTGCACGCGTTCCTCCCAGCCAGGCTACAGAAAAAGAAAAAAACAAGAAAGCTAAATCCGAGAGAAGGACTGTCTAGTTAAACAGAAACACTGTCGGGAACCTGAAAGGGGGAGGATGATTCATTAAAAGTAAGCGTACTTGCCGTGGGTACTGACCATTAGTCGGTACGCGCGCGCGACGCCAAACGAAAAATGCTACTAAAATTTAGTAAACTGTTCATATAGCATAGAATAACTGCCGTGAGGGTCGAATACATACCGGAAGAGGTCCCAAAGCAGGGATACCGTGTTTTTGTGCGGCCCCGGCCAAAACAGAAGTTACAGAGTCGGCATTCTCCGCCGCCCCCGGCGTCAAATTCTCCCGGTCGCGGGACGCCTTTGTTCGTGACCGCTTGCGTGGATCGTCCTAAGAAGAGAGGCAGTAAACGATGCTGCTAGCGCTGGGAACACAGAGGAGGATAGAAAATCCAAAATACGCTTTAGACCAAGGTCTCCCGTCTATGTTTTCTCTGCCATGGATGTGAGCGCGTGCATAGAAGACAAATACAGGCAATAAATTCGCGTCAGTTGTTTATCTTTAGTGCGGCAGAGCATGTCATACAGCAGCGGTAGAATATAATGACGCCATGTCTGAGTCTGTTGAGTAGAAGCCGACAGCCAATAAGAGACTGATCTTACAGTCCCTATGACTAATGAGTGCCCAGATGGTATATAAAATTCAATCATTTTGAAAAATAAAGGTGGGCTCACTGGAGCAGGCTTCTTCATCTGACGTTTCAGACGGCTCACCATTGTGAAAACGTTAACTACAGGGAGCTACCATCTTAGGCCGGGGCAATTCAGAGATTCAACCAATTCAGCTACTTGACAACAGACATGAGGGATCCATAAAGAGGCTGTTGAACAATTCCGTAAGATAATACGTAAAAAGAGGCCGCAGATCTCTCTATGTTTGGATTGAAGCTGTTAACCAGAGTAATGACGGGAAATAAGAGGGGGCGAAGGTCTATGCCATAAGCGACGACATAGGAAAACAAACGGGGAAGCTCTCATACAAGCTAGAGATGACGGCCGACTGAAAACTAACGAATGAATCGGAAACGCTATGGCACTCATCTACTGTCTTTGCTTTCCACAAACAGGTAACCAACTGAATACTGCAATGTCCAACCCAGAAGGCGTGCGGCCAGAAATGGATGAGACTACAACGGCGGCCGAGGTGATATTCGCTGGATGAGAAAGGATTATAGGGTACCCAGCTGGCTCAGTGGTCAGCAATGTCCCCAAGGACAAGGAACGCATGCCCCCGGCATTTTCGGCAAGAGAGTCATCGCTAAATGGATTAGCAGCTGACAACGCAAAAATCAAAAGACCCCTTCCAGCAACCTATTTCGCTAACTGGTAATAAACCGACTCAGGACTATGAAGCCTACCGGAACCAGTATAAAAGAAGAAGGCAAAAATTTGAGGAACGACTAGACGCCAATCCGAGCGGAAAAGGTGTTGTTAGCGGCAGTGGGCCCCTGAGATTATTTACAATTTATATCAAGCCGTTTAAATCTGATAAGTAGACACTATAATGAAGCATTCCGTAAAAATGCCTCCGTGTCTCAACAAATGATTTGTGTTAAGGAAGCCTAAAGCGTGACAAGCAGTGCCTGTGAGGTTTAAAATTAGTGCCTCAGAACACCTGAGAAGCAGGGAGACTCTTCAGAATACTGGCGCGAACGACGAGGAGCAAACAACTGCTTCTGAGAACGCGTTCGAACACCGTACGGCTTATGGCTTCTGATATCTGTTTAAGTGATGCTCATCCCGACTTGGGTGGGTAGGTTTAAGAGCTGCTGTACAGGCAGCGCCTGAGCAGACGCGGGACGGGGATCCTGTTAGTCTATGCACAACCCACCAGCTTGGACTCGAGCAGTTTTACCCACATGGTTGCAAATATGGTT